AGGAGAGATAGACAGTAGAAAAATAAATCAGTAAGTTGTAAACTGGGACGTGCATAGGGAAGAGTCATGGAGGGCACTGTCCTGGGCTCATGCCTGAGAGAGAACCACCTAGAATGAGCCCTGAGATGCAGCTCGGGGTGGGGAGGAGTAATGGTTTGAAGCAGCCGTACCTTGTCCTGTTCTGTCTGTCCTACTTAGAAGTCTGCTCTTTGTCTGTGATTGATATGCATAGCTGTGATTGTGATTGTGATTGTGATTGTGATCACCAGTGCATTTAAAAAAGGATGATGAAAACCAGGTCCTTTTGAACTGTCACAGAGGTTGGTTCTTTTGTGATTGTGAAGCTTGACTGTTGGCAGGCACCAGCAAAGTTGCCGAATGAACAGAGTGGCGTGTAGTTCTCTGGTGTTTGTTGTTGATGGGTTGTTGGCTCTTCCTTATGCCATGATGTTCTGTGCAAACATGGTCATGTTGTGCTGCTGCTGGCATTAGGAGATTTTCTGAGAAGTTAATGTTGTCTAACTAGGAGCATACCTACTTAATCCCATGTGGCTGAGGCTTCCTCTCTGGCAGTTGTCTGGTTTCTCTAGCCTAAGGCAATGCAGGACAGCAAGTCCCATGCACATATCTTAGAATTAGTGCCAGTTTCAGCAATATATATAGAAATTGAGCAATTGTTGTTTTCAGGACTGTAGTATAGCTTAGTCGTAGTATACTTTCCTAGCATGTGTGAGGCCTTGGGATCCATCTCCAGTGCTAGGAAAAAGTGTTTGTTTATAGCCAGGCATGATGGTGCCTGCCTGTGATCCCAGTGCCCCAAAGACTGAGGTGGGTGATCACCAGTTTGAGGCCAGCTTGAGCTACATTGTGAGATCTTTTCTCTAAAAACCTAAGGGGGGCGGGGAACCTTGGTGTTTTGATGCTCAGCTTGATATGACCCTTGGAGGTTGCAGTTCCTCTAGAGCAAGCAATTGGTGCTCATGAATGACACTGCTGTTGTCATGTTTCTGTGCCACATTTCATCACAGGAGCCTCTGGCCTCCTCATGGTATTCTGTTGTGGCCCCGCCTTGGGAGGGGATGGAAGCAGCAGCAGATCCTTTCTCCTGGGGCCCTGAGAACCAGGAATGACAAGCAAAGGGTGGCAGTGGTTCTCCATTCCAGAGAAGACTATGGTCATTTTCTGCTCTGTGGGTTTTTGCTGCCTTCACCATTGGTCATCCTGTCTGATTCTCCTGCCCTTATCCTTTGTAATCACCTCCAGAGATAGGTTTAGAGAGCAAATGCAGCCTGGGTGTATGTGTTCATGTGTGTGTATAGCTATACATTCTGCCCATGGAGGGTCCCAGAGCTAAGGTGGCAGTGTCCTCCCCACGTGGAGCTAAGTCTATTCAAGTCCTTTCAGAATATTCTAAGTGACCATTTGACTACTGTTAGTCACCTGGTGCTGTGAGACAAGCATCCTCAGAACTGAGGGACTTAAGGTATTAGAATACATTTATGGTCCTACTGCCTCTGTGGATTGGGATTGGGCAGTAGTGGCATGATTGGGGACTGCTCTCTTGGGGTTAAATGATGCACAGATCTGTAGCTGTCTGGAGGTGCCCTTATCTCCGTGGCAGGGGACCTCCCCTGCCCAACACAGGCTGCTCAAACACCTTTGCAACCTGTTTACCAGCTTCCCTAGAGAGAACCAAGAGGACAGAGAACATACTGTCTACAAAGGTTTTGCTATGTGCTATAGAGTTCCGTTCAGCTAGACCAGGACGAGAGGAGGCATTGATCTTTCTTAGTCTGTTTGAGTTGCTATAACAAAAATACTCCAGAATCTATTTCTCACAGTTTTAGACTGCAGGTCTAAGAGCAAAGTGCCAGTGATTTTTGTGCCCAGTGGTTGCTTATGGCTGGTTCCTTTCATTTTTATTTTTAAAAGATAAATTCTTTTTCTTTCTATTTATTTTTTTTTATGTGTATGGGTATTATGCCTGCATGTGTAGCACAGTGCCGGCAAAGGACAGAAGAGGGTGTCAAATTCCCAGGAACTGGGCTTACAGATGGTTGTTAGCCATCATGTAGGTTTTGGAAGCTGAACCTGGGTCTACTGCAAGAGCATCAGTGCTCTTAACCTCTGAGCCACTTTTCTACTGCCCCCACCCCCCCCTTTTTTTTAGTTTTTCTAAGTAGATTGAAGGTAGGTTTATTAGGAAAAGTGAGAAAGAACTTGTGAGAATGAGAGGTGCTCCAAGGGAGGAATATCCTTCTTGCTGTGTCCTCACATAGTAAAAGATCAGGCAGCTCTCAGGGGTCCCTCTTTTGGGGGCACTAATCCTGTCATAAGAATTCTATCCGCTGGCTTCAGGAATCTCTTAAAAGCCCTCCAAGTGTACCTTGGAGGTCTCACTAAGCACATGAACGTGGGGAGCAGGCATTCAGACTGCAGCAGAGTCCTCCAGGAGGCTGTCTGTTTCTGCTGTACTCTGAGGTGTGGGGTGTTGACTTAAGGGTAGTAAGCTCCCTGGCAAGGTCATGTCTCTTTAAGAAGGCTGTTGGCCTCCACTTTGTCAGCTGGTTGGAGACCTTGCACTGCTTGTCTTCAGATCTCTGTGAGGAGAACCTTAGTGGTTTTGTTTTCTAGTTTCCTTTATGGAAAGGAGAGCTTGCATTTCCCTTGTGATGTTGACACTCGTGTGTTATGAAAGAGTTGCCTCTATGCCCATGACACATTGGTCAAGCTGTGGTGGGCCTCAGCTGGCTCCAGGGGCCTCTCTGCTGGTTCCTTCAGTCAGATTTTCTTTCTTCCTTCCGGTCTCCAGGCCTTACTTCAGAAAGGGCCAAGGATAAAACCAGGTGTGTATTTACTACTGGCTCTGGAGAACAGATCTGTTAGAAGCAGTATGGCCCTGAAAGCAGGGCCTGTTTAAGCAGTATGCCTTAAAACCAGTGGTTCTCAACTGAGGGCAGTTTTGCAATCTGGAGATAATTTTGTTTGTCATACTGGGAGGTATGACTGGCATGTAGTGAGTAGAGGCCAGGGATGCTGCTGAACACACTGTAATAAAAGATGAACTCCTTCCAGGAGTTATTCAGGGACCCTGTGAATTAACAGGTATGTATCAAGTCTCCAGCCAGACTGGGGCTGGTGGTCAGTGAATCAGAAGACTGAGGATTAGGTTTCCAGTGCCAGTCAAAGTTCCTATAGCGGCTTCTTAGCACAGTGACACAGGGACACCAGGGCTTTAGTAAGCACAAGGAATTGACTTGGGCTTTGGGGAATAAAATGATGCTTATTTGCAGACGTGACTAGAACTGTGGATGACAGCACTCAAGTTTGGCAGTCATCTGTGGCTTCATGTCATTTGTCTGTCTTGTGTCTTGATTCATTGCATCCTGATTACCTTTGAGCTTTATGGCTTCAAATTGAGCCTTGTGGAAAAAGTCTGCTTCTTCATTACATCTCTGACTTTGCAAGGGCCCTACTGGCCATTCATGATCACTGAGCTCTTAGACAGTTGCTGCAGGAAATAAGGGGCTGGGCTGAGGAACAAAGTCTTATCTCCTATCATTACTAGCCTCTAGATCTTACTTATCTGGTTGTAATTTCTTGACCCTCATCATTGAGTTTTGACCTACTGGCCTTTTCCTTTGTCCTTTGGGTTAAGAGGACCTTACCTACCCACCAGCTATTTCTAATCTCTTAGCCTTATTCTGCTGGCCTTCCTGACCTGGCCCTCCCACCTAAAGTAGTTTTTAAATGTTTACTTAGTTATTTTGGTGGTGCTGGAGTTGGAACCCAGGACCTTGAGCATCCCTTGCAAACAGATGCTCTACAATTAGCCATATCCCTGGTCTAGGCTCTACCTATTAGTTTTAGGCTCTTAGTCTTCCTCCCTCAGTTACACTGAATTCTTCCCCACCTGGTTTACCTCACATAGTTTTATCCACTGGCATCATGTAGTCATCCAATCAAAGCGCTGTTAAATTCTTGGATTAAATTCCTCCCTCAGCCTTCTGGCTTACCAGCCTGGCCCTGCCCACTGGCTTTGCACACTCAACTTTGTCCCCCTGGCCTCAGTCTCTTAGATTTGCCTGGTAGTATCTGAACTCACGGCTTTAAACTTGGGCTCTATGTACCTGGCTTTAGCCATCTAACTTTACTAGCCTGGCTTTAACCTGTTCCACCGGGCCTTACCCATTCTTAACATCCTGATGCTCCCATTTGGCTTTTGTGCTGTCTTCATGGCCGTGCATAAATGTGTTACCAACTGACTTTGTTCCTGACCTTTTCTGGCTCAGAAATGTGATTTTTTACCTCAGCTGTGTTAGATTCTTGACCCAGTCTTCATGTGGCCCTGCCATCATCCCACAGAGCTTATGGCATCTCACTTTACTATTCCATAGGAAGCCAGGGACTCTGCTGGGTTCTTCTTGACTAGGCTCTTAGCTGGTGTCTCTCTCCCTTCTGTCACCAGACTTACTTTCATGGGAGGGTCTTTGGATATACATGCAGTCAGCTCCATTGCTACTCCCATCTTCTACCTCAGGCTAATGGACCTGAGTTGACTTTGGTGTAAATGTGGCTTCCCCTGGGATGGGGCTGGCCACCATGTCCTTCCCAGACCTGACCTTTTGGTGGGTGGAGGGTATAAAAGGCTTCCACAGTTTCCTGGAGGGGGATGAAGGTGATGATTTGGTAAGCTTCCTTCCTAATGTGTTCATTCTGGCTTTATCCGTTATGTGTTGCCTCTCACATATCACCTGGCAATCATTTCCTTCTGCCATCGAAGTCCTGACTTTTAGTGGTTGGATTTGTAGGTCACAGTGTTCCCAGAAGTGGTGGCCACTTGGGGCAATGCAGCTTTGGGGCTCCTGCCACTGCTGAGCTGTCTGCGTAGCAGTGACCTCTCTGCCTATATGTTTAATTTAGGCACAGTGTGTTTAACAACTTTGGCTATGTGGCTCTTGAGATGTTGTATTTACTGTTGTTGTTGTTACTCTCTGCAGGCCAGTCTAATTGAAGCCAACGGAGAACTAAAGGTCTTTATAGACCAGAATCTTAGTCCTGGGAAAGGTAAGGGAGCCTGTTCTGGAAATGTAAGTCTGTTGATGATTGTGTAGTATGTTGATGCCTTGCTGATTGCAGGGCCCACTGCAGTACTCCTGTACCCAGCAGCTTTGCTGTTCTGCTTTCCAAGTAGCACAATTCTGTTCGGAGGTCAGGAAATGCAGGAAAGTGTGAAGAGAGAACTATAGACGTGTGTTCTTTCTACTTGAAGATGGGCACCTTGCTATATGAGCTCCTAGGGTGCAATGCACTCCATGTGGAGTGGGCATCTTCTCCGGTTTATGTGTGTGTGTCAGTGGCTCCCACAGGGCACTGTCTTTGTCTTAAGGAACCAGGGTGGGTACATGGCAGGCTAAGGCCCATTTTATCAAGGTCCCACGGTGTGTTTCAGCCTCAGTCTCTGGCAGCAATACACAGGTGCAAACATCCTCCCCTGATGATGGCTTCCTCAGATGGACCCCTGAACTGTATTGTTTTCTGTGTGCATATCACTTGGTCTGCTGTGCCCATCTCCTTGCATCCCCAAGGCCCCACATCCCTGCTGCTCCGAGCTGTTTCTGCAGAGCACTGGGGCACCGTTGATTTGCTGTGATGCTGCTAAAGGACACACTCATGAAAAAGTCTTGTCCCAGAAGTATTTTCCCTTTAGGTCAGGCAGGGTCCTTGTGGGTATGCAGCCAGTGTTAGGAGCCAGAGCCTTGGCTCTGGGTTCTGTTGAAGGATTCCTTATTTCTGATTTTACTAATTGTTCATATATGTAAAATTAATTGATTTCCCCTTAATAGTGAGGCCCAGGAAAATTGACTGCTACTCACTGAAGCTCTGCAGGCTTGAGAATGGCGACCTGCCTTGTTTGGTCTTCTTTGTGTCTGCCCAGTCATGCCACTTGTTTCTGGTGGCCTGTGCTTTGCATGTTTGGAAGCCCAGGGGTCATCTGCCTTCAGTCCTCAGGGGACAGGTCTAGATGTACCTGGGCCACTGTTGTGTACTCTTTGGCTCTCCCCTGCCACCACCCCCTGTAGCCCCCACACCCCACAGGGCACAGTAGCATGAGGACTTGACCTCAGTCTTCACCTCTTCTCCTAGCCTCTTCCTTGGCACCTGCTTGGCCCCAGCCTTTCAAGTGAAACACGCTGACTCTGTGATCATAAGAGATATGCTGGGCTTGTGTGTCTACCCAAGCTGGTTCTTCCTTGCTTGTTTTGTTTTGGGGGAGGCAGTGCACAGCCTGCTGGGGCAGGTGTGGTAGCTTTCTGTCTTCATAGTTGGCAGTGGTGCTTGTGAGGAATGAACTTCAGTATCACTCTTTGGACAGTAGGGTTTCAGGAATTTCAGGCACGACATTTTCCATCCAAGTGATGAAGCAGAAATAACTGAGAAGGTGAGCGACCTCTTTTCCTTGGGAATAATGGTGTTCTATACCCTAGGCAAGTCCTGCTGCCTCCTTTTCCATGCTGTTCATAGTCTGACTGTGAGCCAGAGTTGACCTGGAGGGTTAGGGTATAAGATGGGTACCTGACACACATTTGAGATGCTTTGCATGTTATGGTGAGGCCGCTTATTCCTTCTCTTGCTTCCCTTTGCTCTTGGCTTTTATTGTCAGCCATGGCAGTCAGGTTCTGCATCTACATGAGGTTTGGGACAGGTTGGTGCTGTTCACTGCCTTGGCTGACTCCCTGTGTGGACCAGGGCTCTGTCAAGCACTTAATGCATGTTACCTCACAAGCAGTTGCTTGAACTTACTGAGTGCATGCTGCATATTGATGCTTTTTGGGCATTCTGGTGTTTGGAAAATGTACAGTAATGTCTCCCCTCAATTTAGACCTGCTTCCCATCCAAGCAGGTGATCATGACCATTAGTTTCTGGTGATCATTCCAGAGAATTTGCCTAGGTAGAACTGCCTGTCTGTTGAGTGTGACTCTGCTCTGACAGGTGTCCTGGGCAGTGAAATTGTGGGTTTCAGGGGGGTCCATGATGGACACACTGGCATAGAGGGGGTGTCGTGAGGTTCGGGACATAGGCATTTCTTAGGTTGGAGTTAATACTTCTGAATCCTTGGCTCTGTGCTGCTCAGATGCTGTGACTTTCTTGAGCACATGCTGGGCCTTCTGTTCCTTAATGGGTGAGCTGTCTTCATTGGTGGACTGCCTTTGCTTTCCAGCCTAGTCGAATTGAGGATGGAGCGTATTGTGCCACTTCTAAGCTGATCACTGAGCTGTTTCTTAGTTACTGAGGTGAAGAGCCTATGGCATCCTTCATGTCATTATACTGGTACTTCTTTTTTCTTTCCTTTGGTGCTAGTGACAGCTCAGACATGTGTTCTACCACTCTTCCATGCCCTGGCCTTGGAACAGCCAGCAGTGCCTGGGCATACAAAGATTAGGACCCAGCTCTCATTTGTACGTTGTACCCAGAGAATAGTCACATTTTTCACTGGAGCCATCTCTTTGGTCGGATCTTGAAGACTGAGCAGGAGCTAGGCCAGAGGAAAGGAGAAGCTGAGGCAGCTGGGGCAACATGCAATTCCCATCCTGCTTCATTGATCCCTTCATCTGGTTCCCATGGCTAGTTCAGTCTCCCCAAGGCTCTGGGGCCAGATGTGTTCTAAATTTGCCAGGGGAAGTCACTGCACAGAGTCTGTGTGTGAGTAACCTGAGTGACAGCAGTATGATCTTCCTCAGGTGGTGCTGCTCTGATAAGAGACCAGCTAGATGGGATTCCTGCTTTGTTGTGGTTTGTTGCTGCTGAGCCTGGGCCACTGTTGTCTGCTGGACCTTGTCCTTCTAAATCCATTCATATCATAGCCTCCCAGGCCTGTGGGAGGCTGAGGGCCACCTATTCCATCTCCTTTTCTTTATCTTCTATTGTTGCAGAGGGGCCATAGAAACGGTGATCAAAATATGTGTGCACATGAGAGAGGTTTTGGTGGTGGGACTGTAGGTCCAGAGGCTGCAGTGCAGGTATAGATGTTAAAGTCTTGGAGAACTTTATTCAGGAAACCTCAGGCTTGGCTTCACCTTAGATGAGGCCCACCACCAGCATTGGGAGAATCTCCTTTACTTAAAGCGCATAGAAGGTGTTAGCCTCTGCAGCAGCTTCTAGACTGCTGTGCTGGAGGGTATCAGGAAAGTCAGACTCAGAGGATAGATACATGCATCTGTCCTGCAGTCTTTGAGACTCATAGCCCCTTTCCCTCAGAAAAGACTATCAAACCCATAGCGTTTTGCGTTCCCAGACTCTGAAGCAGACACACCCTAGTCAGTATCAGTGGTAAATGGGACATGACAGACTTCTTGGAATAGCTGTCTGGCCTGCTCCTGACTACACCGCAGCACAATGTTGAATGGTAATTTGGCTTTGGAGTTGTTCATTCCAGAGGCTACTGGTTGATGCACTGTTCACCTCCTACCAGTGCCATATGGGGTTACAGCTGCTCACATCCTCACCAGCTTGTGGTGGTATTAGGTTTTCAGATTTCCCTGCTACTTGTGGTCTATCCTCTTACCTCTGTGGCCCCACATTGCTCACAGGACTTTACTATCAAAAAGAGGCTCCTTCCTGGTCACTCACCCTACCCCAGGGTTGCTGCCCATTAGACTTCTCAGTGTGTCCAATCCTGCTCCACTTTCAGCCTCTGTTCCCAGGGGCACCTACCATGAAAACACAGTTGGATGTATACACATCTTTCCCTGGTCTAGTAACTGAGAGGTATGTGCTCCCTGGAGAGACACAAACCTGTCCAAGAGTGCATGTGAAAATGTCTGCATGTACTAAACTTTGAGGTCCTTCCTAACCCTGGTGTGTGCTGGAACGTGTTTGTGATGTGCAGTCACCATACTGTGACTGTAGTTTCTGGCACTGGACCCTTCTCACTGCAGTTTCTGAAGGCAGTGTTATGTCACTTGGCTACCTTTCATTATTTATCAATTTTTCTAGAATTCTGATTTTTTTTTTTCCTAGAAGACTCAAAGAGTTCCAAATCCAGAACTATCATAGTGTGCTGAGCGGCCATTTCCCAGTACCCTGCCTGCTATAGGGTGTTAGAGTGCAGAGTGGCCCAGCTTCCTGCCTACTCTTGTGTTAAGTTGATGTTTCTCCGCATGTTCCAGATGTGACCTGTGCCTGTTATGTCCCGTCCTCCTCACCTAGCTGATTAGGGTCACATGTGCCCCCTTGGTGCTTCTCTGTTGTTCGTCTACTTCAGTGCTGTGTCTTTTTGTCTTCAGAATGAGACTTAAGAGAGAGGAAACTAATGATGGTGTATGCCAGACCCTGGTGTGGCCTCCATATCCTTAGACATGTGTTAGCTGCCATCCATGGTGAACTGTACCCCAAATATGGATCAGAGTTCGTTGACCTTGTTGTGGCAGTTAGGCAGGGACCTCCAGGGATGGAGCAGACATGATGAACTTTTTTTTTTTTTTTTTTGTCTTTTTGAGACAGGGTCTCCTTGTAGTAGGGCTGGCCTGGAACTCACTGTGTAGACCAGGCTGGCCTTAAACTCACAGAGATCTGCTTCCCGAGTGCTGGAACTAAAGGTGTGTACCACCAGGCCCGGCCTTGATGAGCCTTTTTTGACAGACAACCCTCTAGGGGACATTCAGGAGAGGCCTCCCATATCTTGCTTTTTTGTTCTTTTATTTTTAACCTTATTGACTGTTTTTAGCACTGTAATGACATTTCTGCAGCTGTAATCCTTGTCTGAGGCAAGGGATGGTGACCTTTGGTGAAATGCTGCTCCAGGAGTTGTAGTCTGTGGGGTCACTTGGAAGGGGTGGTACCCCTTTGCCCTCCTCAAGTAGTCCTAGGGTCAGAGGGAGAGGAAATGGGATGTGGGTTAAGCAGGGTGGTGGGGTCCCCACTGCTGGTGTGCAATCTGAATCCTCTAGGTAGTGAACTACTTCAGGTGCATTAGGTGCTCTTGTCCCAAAAGCAACATCCAGGACAGCTGTGGGAGGTGGTGGGTAACCATGCTAACTTTTCTATTATCTGCATGTGTCTCATGATATTACATGTATTCCTTAAAAACATTAGGTTTTGGGGGCTGGAGTGATAGCTCAGCAGTTAAGAACACTGACTTCACTTGCAGAGGACCCAGGTTCTAGTTCCAGCATCCACATGGTGGCTAACAACTGTCTGTAACTCCAGTTCTAGGGTATCCAATGTCCTCTTCTGACCTCTGAGGACATGGTATAACACAGGTGCACCTACCTGCATGCAGACATAACACTCATTCACATAAAAATAAAAATAGGGGCTGGAGAGATGGCTCAGGGGTTAAGAGCACTGACAGCTCTTGCAGAGGATCTGGGTTTGATTCTGAGCACCCACATGGTGGCTGACAGCCATCCATAACTTATGCTACTTCCAGGGGAATCCAACGCCTTCTTCTGACCCCTGAGGGCATTGCACACCCTGCATGCACTTAGACACATGCAGGCAGTACATTCATACATCTAAAATAAAAATAATAAAATATTTTTAAAAATTAAAATAATATTAAAAGTTAGATTCCAAATATGTAGATGGTTGGTTAAAATCATTTTATTAGCATATGTTAATTGTACAGAGTAATTGTCTTCATTGTGACATTTTTGTACATGCATGTCATGTTCTTTGATCATATTTGCCATCCAGTATCCTCTTGTCCCCTCTTTCCTGATAGTCTCTTGTTTTTTCCTGAATAGTCCCCCTCTACTTTCATGTCATCCCGTCACCTCCCAGTAGATAAGACAAAACGGGATACTTGTTTTTCTGAGCCTGGCTTATTTCACTTGAAATGATGATCTCCAGTTCCATCCATTTTCCTGTGAATACCATAATTGCATTCTTTACAGCTGAATAAAATTCTTTTGTGTATATGTACCACATTTTCTTTATCCATCATCTGTCAGTGAACTTTTAGGCCGGTTTTATATGTTGGTTTTTGTGACTCGTGCAGCAATAAGCATAGATGTGCAAATATCTCCATGGCCTGCTGATTTAAGAGTCCTTTGGGTATATACCCAGTAATAATTAACTGGATTATATGGTGATTTAGTTTTTAGTTTGTGTGTATGTGTGATGTGTGCATGATGTTGAGGGGGGCACAGGTGTGTGCAAGTCAGAGGACAACTTTGTGGCGTCATTTCTCTCTCTCCATCTCTAATTGGGTTCTAGGGATCAAACTCAGGTCACCAGGTTTGTGTAACAAGTACCTTTACCCACTGAGCCATCTACTAGTTCCCTCTTAGATTTTTTTTTTTTTTTTTTTTTTTTTTTTTTTTTGTCTTGTTGAGACAGGCTCTCCCTGTAGTCCCAGTTGGCCTGGAACTCACTGTATAGACCAGGCTGGCCTTTAACTCACAGAGATCCACCTGCCTCTGCCTCCCAAGTGCTGAGATTACAGGTGTGTGCCACAACAGTGGCTCTTAGGTTTTTTTTAAAGATTAGTTTTTATTTTTAATTATATGTATGGGTATGCAGTGCCCACGGAGGCCAGAAAGAGGGTGTTGGATCCCCTGAACCTGGTGCAGGGAACCGAACGTGGGTCCTCTGCAAAAACAATTATCTACTCTTAACTGATGGGCCATTTCTCCAGCCCCTCCCTGTTAGCCTTTTGAAGAACCAACCATACTGATTTTCCATAGTGGCTGTATCATTGTACATTCTCACCAGCAGTGTATAAGAGCTCCCCTTTCCCCACATCCTCACCAGCATTTGTGATTATTTGATTTCTTTATAGTAGCCATTCTGACAGGGGTCAGATGGAATCTCAGTATAGTTTTGATTTTCATTTCCTGGGCTAAGGCTATTGAACATTTTTTGAGTATTGATTGGCCATTTGTTCTTTTGAGAATTGTTTAATTCATTTGCCCACTTACTGATTGGTTTATTTGTCCTTTTGATGTTTAATTTTCTTTCTTTATATATTATGGACATTAATCACCTGTCAGATAAATAACTGGCAGAGAATTTCTCCTTTAGCGGTCTCTTTACTCTGGTGATTGTTTCCTTTGCCATCAGAAGCTTTTAAATTTCATATAATCCCCATTTGTCAGTTTTAAGGATAACTTCCCATGCTTTTGGTCCTTTTTAGGAAGTCCTTGCAAGACTGCTTTGGGGGGGGGGTCATTTCAATAGTTTGTTGAAAGTCCTTGCATGTATTTTTAGTGCGAAATGTTTTCCTTATTTTCATCTAGGAGTTTCAGAATTTCAGGTCTTACATTAAGGTCTCTGATATATTTTGAATAGATTTTTGTACAGGATGGGAGATCAGAATTTGCCTTCGTTCTTTTGCAGGTCTAAATCCAGTTTTCATAATACTATTTAAAGAGGCTCCCTTTTCTCCAGTGTGTGTTTTGTATTTTTGTTGAGAATTAGGTGGTTTTAGCTCCTTGAATTTATTTCTGGGTCCTCTATTTTATTGTATTGATCTATGGGTACCTTTTTTTGTTACTATGGCACAGTAGTATAATTTGAGATCAGGTATTGTGATAACCTCTAGCATTGCTCTTTCTCGTTAGGATTACTTTGGCTGTTTGGGGTCTTTTGTGCTTCTTAATTTCAGGATCAATTTTTCTTTTTCTGTGAAGAATGTTAGTATTTTGATGGGGATTGTATTGAATCTGTATATTGCTTTTGCTAATAGTGTCATTTATTTAAAACCATTTTTAGCCAGACTTTAGGTGTAGTTAGTATAAAGTGCTTGTTTCACACATGTAGAGGCCCTGAGATCAATCCCCAGCACACACACACTAAAAAAAAAATCAAACAGAAAACTTGAGAAAACATTTTTGAGAAAACACTGTCTTAACATTTTTATAATTTGATCATAAGATCTGTAGATAATAAGAATGTGATTGCCAGTTATTAAAAAAAAGGTATGTAATATTTTAGAATCTTTTTTATTAATGGGTAGTAGCAATTTACACTATCCATAGAACTATATATTTTTTTAATTTTTAAAAATATTTTATTATTTTTTATTTTATGTGTATGAGTGTATTGCCTGCATGTAGGTAGGTGCACCCATGTAGTGCAGTGCCCTCGGAGGACAGAAGAGGCCATTGGATCCCCTGGAACTGGAGTTATGGACAGTTGTTAGCTGCCCATGTGGGTGCTTGGATTCGAACGCAGTCTTCTGCAAGAACAACCAGTGTTCTTAACCACTGAGCCATCTCTCCAGCCCCCGTAGAACTATATATATATATATAATTTTTGTTTGTTTGTTTTTTATTTATTTATTTTTGTCTTTTTTTGAGACAGGGTCTCCCAGTAGCCCCAGCTGACCTGGAACTCACTATGTAGACCAGGCTGGCCTCGAACTCACAGAGATCCACCTGTTTCTGCCTCCCAAGTGCTGGGATCAAAGATGTGCGCCACCACGTCTGGCCATATAACTATATTTAAAAGCACTTGTTACATGGTTCCTTTGAAAAAGCTTTAACCACTATTACTTTTAGTGAGTTAGCACTGGGTCATGTTCTGATTGCTCTTTTACAGCTGAAATGTCAGCCTTTCATAAAGGGATTCTGTGTGGCAGTATTTGTATCAGGAAACATGTTACGTTCTCTAATTTATTTTACGACTTTAATGTAAAGAAGTGCCATTTTATCCCTCAGACAGGCGGTTGGGGGGCCGTGGCAGGAGGTGGGACAGGAGCAGAACATGGGCTGCTAGTATTTGGACTGGAGTAGCCACTTGGGGGTGCTGTCGCAAGTTCTGATACCTGCTGTAGAACCAGCACTAACATTCCCCAGCCCCAGTGCATTCCCTAGCCAGTGCCCCAGAGGGCACCTGAGCTCTGGAGATCTAGGAACACCCAGGGAAGAAACTAGAAGGGCCCAGGACCAAGCTTGGGGGCAAGGGTGGCATTTGTGACTGAGCCTTAGATCTGCAATGTCAAAACTAGGGAAGGTTGAGTTCTCATTAGAAGCACCATTTTCTTGGAACCATTCATTTTAATCTTATCTCAGAGACATAGTGTGACCCTTGACCTATGCCCTTGTGTTGCAGGTGTGGTATCTCTTGTGGCTGTCCACCCATCCACAGTGAACACGCTCGGAAAGCAGCTCTTGCCAAAAACCTTTGGACAGTCCAATGTCAACATCACACAGCAAGTGGTAAGTTGTAAGATTCATGAACATCAGGTTCTGTGGAATGGGCTAGATGGTATACACTAACTGCTGTGGCCCTAGTGTTCTTGGCGTACTGGTGGTTGGCTTGTGTGAGTGATTTTCTTCTCTCCAAGGTGTGTGCTGGCTCCTGAAGGTGCATGCTGTTTCTGTTGCTGTATGTGCACATACACATAGTGCTTAATCTTACTATCTTCAGTGACTCAGATAGGCATATTGCTGGGTGAAGTTGTCCCTGTGCACAGGATATCTAGTGGATGTAGGTTGGGTGACCCAGGCCTGAGCACACTTTCTGCTCCATTACCTCCATTTACAGAGTTCTGAGCCTAGAGGGTTTCCTCTGTGTTTAGTAAGCTATGCTGGCTTCCCTCCATAGCAACTGTGCCTTGGGGCCAGGGAGGAAGGGTGTGGCTGTGTGGCTATGGCCACAGGATATGGCCAGCACCATACCCTTCCCTCATTGAGTGATGCATCAAAAACAAATAGCCCCCATAGGAGCCTTGCAGCCTCCCTCAGAGTCAGTGGGGAGGGCTTTCCCTGCAGCTGGAGCTTTCTTTAGTTGGGGATACTTTAGCATAGCTACTCAACAGTGTATATCCTCATGACCTTCTTTACCATGACCATGGTTACATTTCTGACCTCCATATGCTCTGGCCCCTTGTGGGAAGTCTGGGCCTTGGTGACACATGTGCCTTTTCTCAGTGTTTTGCTTGCATCCACCTGCCCAACCCCCATGCCCTCATCCCACTGCTGCCTCATGCTCCCTTGATAAGTGTAAGAGGCTTGGTGCTGTCCCTCAGGTATCCACCAGGGCCCTAGGACTCTGCAGCTTTTTTTTTTTTTTAACATTTATGTATTTTTCTGTGTGTATGTGTATGTATGAGCACACGTCATGGCATGTGAATGGAAAGGTTAGAGCACAACTTGTGGGAGTTGATTCTCTCTTTCTACCTTGTGGGTTTGGGGTTGAACTCAGGTTGTGAGGCTTGGTGACAAGTGCCTTTACCCACTGAGCTAACTCACCAACCCCCTCTGCAGCTTTTTACAGGTTTCCCTAGCTGTTTCTCAATTCTTCCTAAGTTTTCACAGGCATCACCAGGTATCCCTGGTCTCTGCAGAGTTCTCCCATCCCCAAAGAGAGTTCTGTACTGGGCTTTTTGCAGTTGCTATTTTGGGGGCAGCTCTTCAGTGTGATCAGGTTTTCTGTCATTCCCATGCTTCAGGTTTGCTTGAAGTCTGCTGTTTTCCATTATTTACGCACACTGGTGTCCTCCAAGTCCTTCAGTGGGTCTGAGCATTGTTTTGCTCTTATCGTTTATTGTTTTGTTTGCCTTTTTTTTTTTTTTTTTTAAATGTAGACCAGGCTGGCTGGCCTCGAACTCACAGAGATCCACTTTCCTCTGCCTCCCAGTGCTGGGGACTAACACCTGGCTTGGTTTGCTTTTTTTTTTTTTTTTTTTTTTTTTTTTTTTTGAGTCAGGGTCTCCCTGTAGCCCCAGCTGTCCTGGAACTCACTATGTAGACAAAAGCCTTGGGTGTCTTGAACTTGTAGAGATCTGTCTGCTACTGTCTCCCAGGTGCTGGGATTAAAGGTGTGTGTCACCATACCCAGCAAGAGATGAGGTTTAACTGGCATGACTATGGGGTGAGCTCTGGGCACTAAGGACCCCCCAGCTCTACGGGTTGGAGCTGGTCTGTCCTGAGGCCATGAGAGGAAAATGTTCTTCCTGTATTGAGCCCTGCAGCGAGGAGTACAAGTTCTCCTTGAAGACTTGTGAATTATTGAAAATGTAAAGCCATACCAGGGTATTAGGCATATTGCAACATTTCCTTTAAATTTTTTTGCTTATTAATTAATGTCCTTTTACTGAAAACCAAGAATGTTTTTGTTTTACTTTATAATTTCTATAGCTTCATTTTAATACCATGTATTCTAGCAGAATTTAGCTTGGCAAGTAAATCTTAGTTGTAGCAACAGTTCCATTTTTAGGGCCCCATAAACGGGTTGGGGGAGAGTTATATGAGATAATTTAAACTTTGTCTGAAAGTCAAATCTGATTTGAATTGAACTTTGTGTGAGGAGGAGCGAGTGATACTGTTTTATACTTTGCAAATGTCGTAGAAGTGGGTCAGGGCTTATGTGCTGTGAGTAACGTTTATGCTCGTGTGTGTGTATGTGTGTGTGGTGTGTCAAGGATTGAACCTAGGGCCCCATACATGATAGGCAAGCATTATATTACCAAGCTATATCATCAGCCTGACATGTTCCAAGAAACTCTTGAACTTTTCTATATGTTTAAGGTTTTAGGGAAATAGCCTGGCCGACTCAACACAGGAGATGATGCGTAACTGTATGTACATGTAAAATGTGACCAGGGCAGGGTCTGGGAACTCTTGGGTCAGGCTCTGAGAAGAGGCTGGGAGAGAGACTAGGTATGTTGTTCACAGGTTTGGCACAAATCCACGCAAAGCAGTGTCTCTGGTTTCTAAGTATGCACCAGGTGGGCCCCTGCAGATAGCTTTGTGGTAAAGTCTCCCCTATCCTTCCTTTGAGCATTTACTGCTTCCCCAAACCTCTCTAAATGTTGTGTTTTGCTTTTGTCTTTTTTGGATTCTGTATGTAAACAGTCATGCATTGCACATGAAAAGCTTTCTGAAGTTAAGGTGCAAAGTGTGTCCTTAGGGCAGACTTGGGGAAAGGGATGCCTTAGACCCTTTAGGGGTTCGCTTGGTGACAGAATGCTTACTAACTAGTGGGAGGCCTGTTCCATTCTCAGCATAGCAAACCAGTGTTAACAGGACTTCCTGGGTTTGCTTGAGAGGCATGGAGGTTGGTTCTGATTGAGGTAGGGTTCTTAAGTCTCTCTGGGATTTAATCCCTGCCTCATTTGCATTTCCCTGTTCTGTGGTGGTCAATCCTCAACATAGGCCTGTCAGTCCCTGTGCCAATTAGCAGGAAGGAGTTTGAAACCTAGATGTCTGGGTCTGAATCAGTTCCAGTCCCAGTCCCAGCAGTGGTGAGCCATAGATGAGACTTCTGTTTGTGACCTGGTCTCTTCTCTTTGCTTCCCTGTATGAAGTAGGGGTTGTCATAAGGGGGAGACCATAGCACTTTTGCAAGAGAAGTGGCTATAGAATCTGGAGGGACAGTGTCCCTGGGAGCAGTGGGAGTCCCCTCCATGCCACACATGTGTGCATGCAGAGGTTGGAGCATGTGCACACCAAGGGTGGAGAGCTTCTTGCTCCTAGAGGCTCTGTTTTGGGGTGCAGATGGAGTGGGTCCACTGTCCAGCCTGGCTGCCTTCCCTGGGACTATGATCCTTGCTCTTATCTGGGGTCTTATACTCTGGCCATGCCAACAGGGAGTCGCTGCTTTGCAGTCTGGGTTTCTTCTGGCTCCTTTATGGCCTAAGCAGCTTGTTTTCCTCTTGCCTTCATGGCTTCCCACTTGAAGCAGTGGGTGCTGTTTTGTTGAACTGATACTATTGACCCTCTGCCCAGTGGCAGTGCAGGCAGAGGTGGGGTATGTGTGTGTGTACACAGAGGATGGAGCCTCTGTAGAGAAGCATGTGCACACAGGGTTGAACATTTACTGAGCAGTCTGTACATTAAGTTGGAACATAATATATGTGAAGGTTATACACAGCCTGCCTGGTTTCTGTTGTCAGATTCACAGAGATGTATGTACCCAGGTGTTAGGGAGGTCACTGGAGTTGTTCCTGGGATGTACACAGGGCCTATGGGCAAGCTCGTCTGCTTGTGCTGATAGACATAGGTCTTGGTGATGAGTGAGGCTGCCTGTGAGGGGGCCATTTGGCCCTCCTCAGCATAACAGTCCAAGAAGACTGCTATACAGAACAGTTAAAGCTGGGAAGTGAGTTTCCTGTGGACCTAGGCACTTGGCAACTTCTTTGTGAATAGTGGGTAAGCCAGCCACAGGCAGCCTCCTGTATGTGCATGGCTGCCAAGTGTAGGCAGGTGATCCCAGGCCACAGAGTCCTGAGCCCTGCTATGTACCTTCCTGGAGCTTGCTGTCCTTCCTGCTGCTGACCAGGAAGAGACAGGCTGTGAGGAGCTCACACCGAGGTCTCACAGTCATGAGCCTGTGCTGGGGAAGCTGGGCTCCTCAGGGTAGTTAAAATCATATCTCCACAACCCTTTGGGCAACTCTTGTGCCTATGTGAGTGTGACTGGGAAGCATTACTTATAACAGAACTCAAAGCTCCTATAAGTCTGCTCCCTGTCTCTTGAGAGGGTGGGGAGTTTCCCTGTTTCCATCTGAGAGAGCAAGCCAAGCTGAGCTCCCCACCCCCCATTAACCATTTATTTAAACCCTTAGCAGTGACCCAGTTCTCCCTTAAGTGTACCCACACCCTAATTGGGCAAGACCAAAGCCTCCTGAAACACTGCCCTGGGGGAGGGCTTTAATCACTGTGTGAACTTGCCTGTTGGACTGAGCCCTGGGCCAGGCATGTCCATCTGGGATACGTACTGGGCACCATCTGGGGACCCAGGCATCCCACTTTAGTACCTGTGGAATGTCCTGATGATATTTGGTCACTGAGGTACTTTGTAGTCTTTACCAAAGATGCTGTTTTTGTCTTTTTTTGAAACAGGGTCTCCCTGTAGCTCCAGCTGGCCTGGAGCTTGCTATGTAGACCAGGCTGGCCTTGAACTCACAGAGATCTGCCTGCCTCTGCCTCCTAAGTGCTGGGATTAAAGGTGTGCACCACCATGCCTGGCCATAGATGCTTTTTAAGGTTTTTTTTTTTTTTTTTTAAATCTTATTTATTATTTTTATTTTATGTGTTTGAGTATTTTGCCTGCATATATGCAAGTGCATCCATGGTATGCAATGTCCGAGAGAGTCAGAAGAGGGCACTGGATTCCCTGGAACTGGAGTTATGGACTGTTAGCTACCATGTGGGTGCTGGGAATTGAACCTGGGTCCTCTGCATGAGCAATCAGTGCTCTTAACTGCTGGGCCATCTCTCCATCCCCAAAGATGGTTTTGACTTAGAGTCATGTAGTAAGAGCTTTGACACATTGAGACGTTAGTTGTCTGTACAGAACAGTGTCTCCAGTGGAGCAAGTTTGTGTGTCAACTGAGGAAACTGAAACAGCAGACCTGTTGCCAAAAGGCAGACCATCAGAGGAATTACCAAGTCCTCAGAGCACTGTAGGAATGGCTGGCATGGCTACCCTGTCATGGAACTGGTTGCCTTGATCCCTAAGAGCCATCACTCCTGGGCTGTTTGCTCCCAGAGAGTCACCTGCTCTCTTTTTGTCCTGATGTTGTTTCCATCCTGGGGTTCCCTAGAGACTGCAGGGAAGTGGTCCAGACAGGGCAGCTGGGTACCGGATCAATTTGGACAGTGACTGGTGCAACTTTTGAGCTGAAGGCGAGACCTGCTGTCTGTTCCAGGTTTGCACTTGTTCTGACAGCTATTTTATGCTTATTTTCATACTATGGAAATGTACAATTTTATCCTTGTCTATCATTAAAAAGGAGTAAACCAGAGATGTGTTAAAGTGTCCTGCTATTAAGTCTGGCTGTCATTGAGTTGCCTATCCTATCCCTTTGGCCTGCTGTTCCTCAGCCTGCCCTGTCCATTTCAGCACTCTGGCCTGCTCTGTCCTCTCGGACTCACCAGCTGATAAACTTCTGTTAAGTGTAAAAAGGTGCCTGAGCTAGAATAGGAAGCAGTTCTACATGCAGAGCAGCTGTAGCAACAGTGGTCAGTGCTTTGGATGTTGCTCCTGTGGGACATTTGCTTCTCTTCTGTCCTCTCACTGTGACTGAGGTGCTGCAGTACTACAGGTATGAGCTGATGACAAAAACAGTAGCACCATGATGTGGAGATGTCTGATTGTTATGAATTCTTTTTTGACTGTAGGTGATTGGCACGCCTCAGAGACCTGCAGCATCAAACACTATCGTGGTAGGAAGCCCACACACCCCCAATACTCACTTTGTATCCCAGAACCAGCCGTCCGACTCCTCACCTTGGTCTGCTGGGTGAGCACCCCTACCCTACGGTGGCAACTGCCTAGAATGTCCCCTCCTTTGGCCACATGTCACATGGTCTGTAATGGGGGTGCATCAGGACAGAGTTCAGAGCTCTTGACCCATCTGTGTCTAGGCCAGGCATCAAAGCGCAAGCCTGACTCTTGCCAGCTACTCTTTTGAGGGTTTGGAGCTTTGGGCTACAAAGAGAACATTGACCTTCATCACTTTGAAACTTTTACTGTTCCCTCTGGGTATAGAGTGCAGGTTTTACCTGCTGACGCAGTATTTGGCCTCTACCACATACCACACCAGGCCACCATCCTGAGGATAGTCCTGCAGGGGTACACTGCCACTAAAGCAGTGGCAGATGTGAAAGTGACTTTACCTAAAGGTCACTAATGTGTTTCCCTTAAAAAACACATACTGTAGCCGGGTATGGTGGCACATGCCTTGAATCCCAGCAGTTGGGAGGCAGAGGCAGGCAGATCTCTGTGAGTCCAAGGTCAGCCTGGTCTACATAGTGAGTTCCAGGGCTATAGGGAGACCCTGTCTCAGAAAGACCAAAAAACCCCCAAAAAACAAAACAAAAAAAACCCGCATACGGTTCTGCCATAAAACCATGTCTGTATTGGCTGTAATTAGAAATCACCTGTGTCCAGATCTCACAGGAAGGAGATTAGTGACCCTGTTCTTGATTTAGCCAAGGGCTGCACTTTTGGCATGCCCCTGATCTGAAACACGCTTCTTGGTTTCCTCCTATTGTCACGTGTGCCCATCAGTCTAAGCATTTGCCTTGTATGCCATGGTAACCTGCTGAAGTTGGCCCTGAAAATTCTTAAATTTACACTAAAATGTGCCGTGATCTGACACCAGCAGACGTCTTTAGGACATTGGTGCCTAGCATGTGGTCCGGATCAGACCCATGCTGATTTCTGCCCTTCGGATGTCTGCCCATCTTCCCCGACATTTGAAGGCACAGGTGTGTAAACTGGCCTCATATATGTTCTTTTTCTGACCTGAAAAACCCACTGATACCTGCAGATGTCCTTGGTGTATTGGGATGGAGCCACTGCCACCTGTGGTGGGGCTGAGGGAATTACGGGCCTCTGGGGGCTCTGCAGCCTTAGGCCTTTCTGCGAAAATGTCCTTGATTCACGTCTGGCTCCATGACTACTCAGAGTGTCTATTCTCTGTTTCAAAGGAAGCGGAACAGGAAAGGGGAGAAGAATGGCAAGGGCCTGCGGCATTTCTCCATGAAGGTATGCGAGAAGGTACAGAGGAAAGGGACCACCTCCTACAACGAGGTAGCTGATGAGCTGGTTGCAGAGTTCAGCGCTGCCGACAACCACATCCTACCAAATGAATCAGTAAGTGTTCTGGTAGGACATGAGGCCTGGCTTGCAGGCCACTCAGTGGAGCATGGCCTTTCAAGGTGAAGCAGTTGTAGACACTAGAAAATAACAGGCTCGGTATAAGAGGTGAACTCTCATCTGCAAGATCAGTGTCCTAGAAGATGGTCGGGAGTGTCCTGTTAGGGTCTGAAACCTCAGCTGCAAATTTCTAAGCCGTTGGGTTGCTGAGAAGGCTTTTGCTTTGTCTTCCCCAGGCTTATGACCAGAAGAACATCCGACGGCGTGTCTATGATGCCTTAAATGTGCTGATGGCCATGAACATCATCTCCAAGGAGAAGAAGGAGATCAAGTGGATCGGCCTGCCCACCAACTCTGCTCAGGAGTGCCAGAACTTAGAGGTACACTGCCTATAGCAAGCATTTATTAGCCTTGGTCACTTGGTAGCATGGCATGAAGTAGTTGGGTTGGCGGGAGTTCTCTCTGTGTTTCCTAGCCTCTGGTCCTAGGCAGTTTTTACATGTGTTTACAGATGTGTTTGCTTCCATCCCAACTGGCTCTTTGGGGCCTTGGCTATTGAGGAGGGAGCTTAATTCCCAATCCTTGCTCATGAGATTTAAAAAAATAAATACAACCAAATCTGAGAAAGGAGGGAATCAGGTATGATGCTGAAGTTTCAGGAACCCTGACCATCTGTAGCTTGTGCTGTGGCCACATGTGTCCATGTCACTGTAGCTGATGCTGTTGGAGAACTGGTGCCTGTGGGCCCTACAGATTAGGTTTATCAGCACACATGCTGATGATGGGAAACCCTCTTCATGGGTCTGTCTACAGGTGGAGAGGCAGCGGAGGCTGGAGAGGATCAAGCAGAAGCAGTCTCAGCTCCAAGAGCTCATCCTGCAGGTAGCTGTCCACCTGAGAACAGCCATCCTCCCCCTGGAATCAAGAGCTCTGCTCTGAGCTTGTGATGGTGTTGGCCACATAGGTCTTATTCCTAGAGAGTCTGACTGTGAGCAAGTGTGTGTGAGTGTAAGCATCCCTTGGCATGAGAGTTGGGGCAGCCTCTATGGAGGGAGGTCATAGGGAAAGAACTCCCTCAGAGCTAGGCCTCCCCTGGGGACCAAGTACTGCATTGGGCATGTAGTGAACTGTGACAGCTACTGGTCAGGGACAGCATAGGTATTTAGGGCTGTGTGTTCATGGGAAGTAGTCCTGGAAGTTCGGCTTCCCCTGTGGAGACCTGGGGGTGTAGTACCAGAATTGGCAGCAGCGAGGGGTTTATGGCAGGACAGGCTAGTCTCTTGACTAAGATGTGCCAGAATCTTTCAGGAGGCATAATGGTGGGACTGGTCATGGGGGTGAGTGACCACCAGTTAGGGATGGTCATAGGTGTCCAGGAACACCTAGTAGTCAGAGTTAGAGGTCCAGCATGGTCCCAGTCCCTCATAAGGCCAGGCCAACCGCCTAAAACTTAACACAACCTGTGGAGTGGTGTTAAAGACCCAGAGCCTGGGGACATCTGTCATTCTCTGTGGGATCAGCCCAGGATGGCACGATGGAGCCAAGCTAGAGTACCAAAAAGATCTGGGAAATCGGGGATCCTGGCCCCAGAAGGAAAAGGTAGGTAGTGGCCCAACTTACTCCCCATTTTCTTGGCCTGTGTTTAGTTGTTTTTTGTGACCACATGGAGATCAAGGCCTCCTACTGTGTGCAGTTGATCATGGCTTCATAGCAGCACTTGCCACTATAGGGAAGAAGGGGGTGGTTGGCAACACATGGTCAGTTTAGGCACTGGAGCACTGGCTCTGAATTCAGCCCTGCAAGGACCCAGTCCTCAGGGAGAGATCCTTCATGCATTACCAGGAGGGCCATAGCCTAGGACTGAGTGTCTTCCATTAGGCCATCCCTCACTATAAGAATGACCAATGTGGGTAGCCTCAGCACCAGAGGTAGCAGGGGTCTACCTTCAGAGTGAATGCTTTCCCTGTGCTCCTTGTCTTTCACGGGCTAGGGACTCCACTTCCCACATGCACACCTCCCTGTCAGGTACACTGCAGGCTGATCTTTCACCATCCAGGTCTCCACTGTCTGCAGGGAAGGGCAAAAGGACCATGTGACTGTAGCAACATCTACCAGGGCACCTCTTGCTCTTTTTCAGCAAATTGCTTTCAAGAACTTGGTGCAGAGAAACCGCCAAGCGGAGCAGCAGGCCCGCAGGCCACCCCCTCCCAACTCTGTCATCCACCTGCCCTTCATCATTGTTAACACCAGCAGGAAGACCGTCATCGACTGCAGCATCTCCAATGACAAGTGCGTCCTGAACTGGGTCCTCTGGTTGCGTAGCCCTTTTTAGGGGAAGAAATTGTGAGATGCGTTTCCAGGACTCAATCCTAAAAATGCTTAATAGCAGCATTTGTTGTCTTTTTGGTGCCCATGCGGGTAGCATTGTATCCTGGCCTGTGCCAAGTCTGGAACAGGTTAATAGTTTGCGCAATTACATAGTAGCTTATCCTTTGTTCTCAAGTTTGTATTGTTTTGTCGAGACTCAACCACAAGATGTAGGGTTGGGAGTAATGATGGACAGTCTGCTGTCACCAGCCCACAGCACTGCTTTTCCTTGGAAGCCCCATATTTCTCATAGTGCCTTTCCCCACAGATTTGAGTATCTGTTTAACTTCGACAACACCTTTGAGATCCATGATGACATTGAGGTGCTCAAGCGCATGGGCATGGCATGTGGGCTGGAATCAGGGAGTTGTTCTGCTGAAGACCTCAAGATGGCAAGAAGTTTGGTACCAAAAGCTCTAGAACCATACGTGACAGGTCAGTTGTGCCCCAAGGCTGGTCATGCGTTAGCCAGATGCATCCGCAGTGCCTGGGTGTCTGCAGAGACTGAGTTGAGCATGGTTCTTCCTGGTGCCATGCCCACTGGTGTGGTCCACAAATGGTACTTGTGATTTTCATGATAAAGGTGTTACAGAGCGAAGAACCGTCTTCTAGGTGGGACCAAGAGTAGAGATTGATATTGTTCGAGGTGGTGATAGGCTTGATCCAGTCCCAAAGCTGTCACTTGGTCCCTACAACCCTGATGCCTTACTGGTGTTATATTAATCAGGACAGCATGGATCAGGGTTGTCAGTTCCCTGGGCTTTAGTTCTGCCTCTGGAGTCTGCTTTCTGGTGACATTGCTGAGGCATCAGGTCATGGTCCCAGGTGTGAAGGCCTTATGATTTTGTAATCCAATGAGTGGTATGGATTCAACTCTCATGGACAGTCAGTGACTCCTCATACCTCAAGGGCTTTGACTGTCCCAGATCATGTGAGCATCATCTTGTTTTGTCATGCTCTGCTGTGTGTGAGACATGGGGACATCAGCTCCTGGGGTACAATCAACTTTTCTGCAGCAGCTGCAGGCCAGGACACTAGGCCTCAGGCTTGCCTTCTCATCCTATTCCTATAGAGATTTGTGGGAATCTCAGATGGAAGGTGAGACGGTTGTGCATCCATACTGTTAGTCCCCATTTCTGCTCTCTTGGTGCCACTAGCTCACAGGGCAGCATCAGGAGCCTTTCCTGGGGCAACAAGCATGCTGAGGTGGTTCTCCCTGCCTGGGCAAGCCAGGCCTGCATGACCACACCTAGGCACTCACCACGGAAGGCAGGGCAGAGCCGCAAGTCAGGGTGTCCACAGGTCTCCCTGAGTTGGCTGATCATGTAGACTTTATTTCTTTCTTATACACAGTGGATCTCTCAGTTTTATTTCCTTTTGCTTTCTTTCTTTTCAGAAATGGCTCAGGGATCCATTGGTGGGGTGTTCGTCACGACAACAGGTTCTACATCCAATGGCACAAGGCTTTCCACCAGGTGACAGCAGCTGGGGGTGGGCAGCCTTATTGTGTTCAGACACACAGGACTGGTCTGTCAGGGAACTGTCTGCTCAGTCAGGGGCACAATGCTTATGCCCCTATAGAAAGAGGTTACTTTCTTGCTCTCACCCCACCCCCTAATTTCATGGGTTTTAAAAATAACACATAGTAAAGTGGTGGTAAAAAGTACCCAGGTCCCACTGTCCTTATCAGGACAAGTGACAGCAAGTCTTTCAGCTCAGCTCTTTACTTTTAAAATATTATCTAATGGCACAGTATATATACAATTTTGTTTTCTTCTTTACACTTTTAAGAACCTTATTTTATTGTGTGTGTGGGCATGTGTGCATGGTATATGTGTAGAGGTCAGAGGAAAACTTGGTGGGGTCAGTTCTCTCCCACCTTTATGTGGGTTTTGAGGATCAAATGCAGGTTGCCAGCTTTGTGTGGCTAGTGCCTTTACCTGCAGAGCTGTCGCACTGCCCCCCATGTTTTAAAATTTTATTTATTATTATTGTGTGTGCGTATAATGTATGTGTGTAAATGTGAGTTCACATATGTGGAGGTCAGAGGACACCTTTTGGGAATTAGTTCACTCCTTCCACTATGGGAACCAGAGGTCAAACTTAGTTGTCAGGCATGCACAGCAAGTGCTATTACCTGCTGCACCATTTTGCTAGACTTTGTTTTATTAAGATAGTCTTACTATATAGCCAAGCCTGGCCTTGACCTCACCATTGTCTTGCCTTGGTCTCCCCAGTGCTGATATCACAGGTCTGTATCACCATGCCTGGCTCAAAACAAGTACTTAAATTTTTTTTTTCATTTTATTTATTATTTTTATTTTATGCATATGAGTGTATTGCCTTCATATGTGTAAGTGCACCCATGTCATGCACTGCCCACAGAGGTCAGAAGAGGGCATTGGATCCCTTAGAACTGGAGTTATAGATGGTTGTTAGCTGTCATGTGGGTGCTGGGAATCAAACCCAGGTCCTTTGTAAGAACAGCCAGTCCTCTTAATGGCTGAACCTTCTCTCCAGCCTCCTTAAAACTGCTTTTGGGAAAAATAAAAATATTTTGTATATCTGTGCAGATAGTGTGTGTGTCTGCACAAGTGTTTGCTGATGTATGTGCATATGTGTGTGTGTATGGATGGTGTCTTCCTCTATTACTTTCCATCTTTTTTTTTTTTTCATTTTTATTTATTTTTATTTTATGTGTATGAATGTTTGGCGTGCATGTAGTATAAGTGCATCTGTGTCATGCAGTGCCCCATGGAGGTCAGAAGAGGGTGTCAGATCCCCTAGAACTGGAGTTATGGATGATTCTTAGTCGCCATGTGGGTGCTGGGAATTGAACCTGGGTCCCCTTCAAGAGTAGTCAGTGCTCTTAACTGCTGTACCATCTCTCCAGTCCCTATATCTTAGTTTTTTTGAACTGAGTCTCACTAAACCCAGAACTCACGGACTGACTAGTCTGACTGGTTATTGACTGTTTAAATAAAGGTATCAGCTGTCAGTTGGACCATGAATTTTAGAGTAGTGAACTTTAGAGAAAGGCTTAAGATGGTCTTTACAGTGCACATGAATGACAAAACAATGGGTTATTGCCTGTTATATTGCTAATGTATAGTCTTTAGGTTCAGCTTGAATATTAATAAGATACTAATTTAATATTTTAGAATTGTCATAAGGGGTGGGAGAGATGACTCAGCAGTTAAGAGCACTGGCTGCCCTTGAACAGGACCCGGGTTCAGTTCCAGCACCCACGTGGCAGCCAACAGCCATCTGTAATTCCAGTTCCAGGAATCTGACACCCTCTTTTGACCTCCATGGGCATTGTACAACATGGTACACTTACATATGTGCAAGAAGTACACTTATACACATAAAATAAAAATAATAAATATTTTAAAAGAGAATTGCCATAAATTAGGAGCTGTAGATGTTGCAGAGGGTCAGTGAGGCATTGGTATAAGTGAACACCCTGTGTTATCCAAAGAATCGGTGAGGTGACGGTGTTAGTGGGACCTGGTGTGAGTAGGACCAGTGTGTCTTCTGGGGGTGGGTAGCTGCTATGTGTGAGGCCTCCCCTCTTGTAGTGTTCCAGCTCACAAAGCTCAGCTTTTCCCTTTTGAACTGAGTTTCGAGCTAAATGTAAGTGTATGAGATCTGGCTGCAGAATGTATAACAAGGATTATTCTTTTTTAAAAAACAATTTAAATTTTTATTTTATGTGTATGAGTGTATTGCCTGCATATATGTAAGTGCACATATGTCCACCTGCAGAGGTCAGAAGGAGGGCATCAGATCCCCTCGAACTTGGGTTACAGATGGTTGTTAGCCAACATGTGGATGCTGGGATTCAAACCCGGGTCCTCTGCAAGAGTGGCCAGTGCTCTTAACTGCTGAGTCATCTCTCTAGCTCCCAAGAATTATTCTTTGAAGAAGAGTTTGTTATTTTAAAATATTTTGTCTTCAGTTCTTTAATTTTTAAAAATTATTTTAATTTTGTGTGTGGGGGTGTGGAGATCAGAGAACTGTTTGGAGTTGGTTCTCTCCTTCCATCTTTTATGTGGGTTCTGGGGGATTGAACCCAGGTTGCCAGGCTTGCACAAAAGTATCTTTACCTATTGAGCCATCTTGCTGGACACAGTTGGTTCTTTCTGGGGCTAAACTGTTAAGGCCTCCCACTTTTCACATGGAGAGAACAAGGCTGCAGCCATGTCATAAGGAACACTGGCATTGGTGATGTGGTACTTAGTAGGAGGTATGTAGGTGTCTTGCAGTTATCAGAATATCCAAATGAACATCTGTAGCTCTTTGGGTAAATTCTTCATAGAACTTCAGATTAGTTTTGCTAGGGTGAATTTCTCAGATGTAGTTATTCCATCAGAAAGCCTAGCATGTGTTAATGTTTATTGTTCAGCTTTACAAATACCAATAAAGACACTAGAGTACATGTATGTGGCTTTTTGCTAGTTAAAACATGCCTCCAAGTATTAGGGTGTATCACCAGCTCAGGCTGTCCTAAGATTTGTTGATGCTTCCTAGTGTTCTGGGTTCTGATCCATGTTACTATGGGGGCGGGTCTGGGCTGGGCTAGGGATCGAACCAAGTGCCTTATATATGTCAGGCAAACACTCTATTACTTTGCCACACGAAGGCGCGCTTGGTATGTCACCTCCCAACCCACTCTTTTTCTTGGCCCAGTACTGGTTGTGAGCAAAAGTCCTGGAAAGAAGGATCTCGGTCATTGTCTATGCTCTGTGGATTTCCTGTGAGTCCCAGTGACCAGGGACGGTGCTGTTGAAGTTCGTGTGCTTTGGCTGTTCTGTGTTCAGAAGGATGGGTTTGGGGAGTAATTGTGAACAGAGTGAAGCTTGTTACAGATTAGGGTTCTCTATCATAGGTGGAGAAAATATTTCCTTCTCTGCTGGTAATTTAAAAAAAACAAAAAACCCTCTCCTTGGGGGGGCCATGTGCAGCCTTTCCTGGGCTGGGAAGAGTGGGCTTCTCCCCACTAACTGGTCTGTCCTTGCAGTGATTTGAGTAATGGTGCGGATGGGATGCTGGCCACAAGCTCCAATGGATCCCAGTACAGTGGCTCCAGGGTAGAGACCCCTGTTTCCTACGTTGGGGAAGATGATGATGATGATGATGACTTCAATGAGAACGACGAGGAAGACTGAGATCCCAGCTTGTAGACTCCTCCCCTTCAAATCAGCTTCAGGAAAAAGATGTGTAGAGAAAAACTTTTTAAAGTGGGGTTTTCTGTTCTTTTTGGCCTACTCCCAAGAAGATACCCGTGAGCTATGGAGTTAGATGTGCACCTCCAGTAAAGATTGTTCCCGCGGTTTGAGCCACACTGCGGATGTGTTTTGATGCCAGCGTGCTGACGCAGAGTCTGTATTTACTTTTTAGATTTTGCGTTTTTGTTTTCTGTTTTTTAAAGTTTGAAGTTTATTTTTGCCCCTCAACAGTTCTTGCTGGGTTTGCTAAGAAATTATACTGCACCCATGCCAACAACAATAATAAAACGCTATCCCACCATGGACATCCAGCACCCAGTGCTGTGTGTACAGTGTGTTTGAGTGGTGCCACCTGCTGCAGATAGCCAGGCTTTAGGATGAGTTTCCTTTCCGTCTGTTAATCCATGCAGTGTCCAAAGAACCAAGCCGATAGCAAAGCTCTACTTTTTAAACATTAAGCGCCATACGTCCTATTGTGACTTTATTTTCCTTAAATTATATTGATTGTTGTGATCCCATCAAATTTGTACTTTTTCTCTATTGCAGGAACAAATTACGAAGTACTTTTTCTTGTTTGTTTGCTTTTGTTTTGTTTGGAAAAGGTTTACTGCCACGCTGGTGCAGCTATGGAAATTGTCTAGAAGGTTATTGCTTATGGTAAATTTGCCTGATTTCTTACAGGCTACGTTTGGAAACTTTTTATTATATAGTTGTTTACATACTTATAAGTCTATCATTTAAAGACATGTACTGAAACAAATGTTGGATTTGTTTCCTAAGCATCTTCCTGTAATCTATTATAAAGTTGAAATTAAACATAGAGAATGTTTTAACAATTTTTTAACTCAAAATTTGTCAATCATTTTTAATAGTTCTTTTTTTATAAAAAGAAAAAGGAATTTACAGACAGGCAGTAGTCTCTTAAAATTTATTCACAAAAACCCGTTAACTGCACAGTTGCTGTTAGCTGCCTGTTCTAAAACGATAGTCTTTTTATTGAAACACAAATAAACTTTTCTGTAATATTTTATGGAATATAAAGAGACTTTAATTGTTTGACTTGTTTAACTCAGCACTGTTAGTTTTTATTAATAAAACGCGCATGGGCATTTTAAACAAGCTCTGTATTTCTGTAATTCAGAATTGTGGTCTAGAAGTTGTTCTGGCTTGTTAGTCTTGAGTGGAAAGGCAAGCTCCCAGGCCTGATAGCCAAAGGCATTGTGTGTCCTGTGACTTCACATTCCTTCCACTGTCTGGTGTAGCTGGAGATACCCCTGGTTTCTACTCCCTGATGGCACAGGGAACAGGAAAGGAGGATGAGATGGGTGTGGGCTGTGGGTGCTCACAGTATGGAAGTTGATTCTGTGACTTTCCTGTCTTAAAAGTTGAGGCAGATTTTACAGGTTTGACTTTCAGAGAAATGGTAGGACTGTGAAAGCATTCTAGAAAGGTGGGGACTGGGAACACCAGCAGTCTCTGCTTGCCTTGACAGCTGCACTGGTCAAATCTGCCAGACATACCTATGTAGGGACTATGGAGTCTGCTGAAGGCCTGCAACTTGGTGTGTGTATGGGGCCGGGGATTGTTGGAGGTGGATAGCTGGTACTTTGGTCCATTTGAACTTTTCCACAGTAGCAGCTACTCACTCAGCATGGCCCCATAGATGGGATGAGCAAAAAGAACCAGGTACTGAATAGCTAGGTGTGCGCCCAGGTTGCTAACTGCTGCTTGAGGCAGACAAGAGAGGCAGCTGACCAATGGAGCAGCTCCTCTCCCATGGCTGCAACCCTTCCTTCTGGATAACTAGACATCCAGGGAATTTAGAGGTCAGTGCCTTTTTCCTACTCTTCTCTTCCATTTCCCCCCCCTTTTGGCATTTGACTGAAGACTAGGGCATTTTGAGGACATTTTGGAAGTGACTAGGCAAGCCTGGAAAAGGCCTTCGGGTGGCATTTCAGGCTGATCCATTGCAGACAGCCTACAGCTATCAGAACACACAAACAGCCCAGCAAACCTTGGGAAATGGAACAGTTTGCTTGCTGGCCACTGTGTGAGCAGTTTTAAATGTCTAACTTCCAACAGAAAGCCAGAAGACATGAAGAAAACTGGAAGTATGTTCTACTGATAGAAAAAAGTGAATCGGCAGACAGTCCCTGAAAAAGATGGCATGCATTGTGGACAACACTTTAAAACGGCCATCTCAGAAGTGCTTCAAAGAACTAAGGAAAGATGAGTGTCAAGAAAGTGATACATGAACAGTATTGATGTGCCAATAAAAAGAGAAAACCTAAAAAGAAACCAGAAAGAAATTCTGGGGCACAAATGCGCTGAAATAAAAATCCATGTTGTCAAAGGTAGAATTATCAAACTTGAAAACAAGACAATGGAAATTCCTGAGTCTGAGGAACAGAAAGGAAAAAAAATATGCTTAAAAGGTGAAAAGTCCAAGGGACACACATCGTGCCAACAGGTGCATTTTGAGATAATCAGAGGAGAGAAAAGGCAGAAAGAGTATCTGAATACCATAGTGGCTGAAAGCTCACCAAGTCTGATGAAAGACCTAACTATAAACATCCAAGAAACTAAGGAATTCCAAGTCAGTTGAATGTACATACCCAGAGAAGACATTGTCATTAGACTTCCAGAAGACAGTCTTGAAAGCAGCAAAAGAGAGACAACTTGTCACATACACATGTTCCTCAGTAAATCCAGACTGTCATCTGGGGCTACAAGGCAGTTGGCCAAATATCCAGAATGCTAAAAGAAAGTGGGTAAAAAGGCCATTCATCAAGAATCCTGTCAAGTGACTGTATATCCTGATGTAACCGCAGGAGCCAGGAAAATGGAAAGGAACCATGGGATAAAAGGGAAGAAGGAGCTTGAGAGAGGGGGATAGCAGGAGGCAAGTGTTAAGGCAGTTACTTAACTGGGGAGGGAGTACTGAGGGTTATACAGAGGGAATGAGAGGAGAGGGAAATAATGCTTAGATGGTATGAAAAACCAGAGGGAAATGTATTAGTTCAAAGTCCTGCTGAAAAATACACATACAATAAACATACAAGCACATGTGTATTGCTGAAGCTTATACAACACAGTGCCAGGGAGGAAAACCTTCCCTTCAGGTTGTCAGTCAGAGTAGTCCAAGAGACTCTCAAAATAACACAGGCTAGGGCTGGAGAGATGACTCAGTGGTTAAAAGCGCTGACTGCTCATGCAGAGGACCCAGGTTCAATTCCCAGCACCCACATGGCAGCTACGAACCGTCCTTGACTCCAGTTCTAGGGGAATCTGAAGCCCTCTTCTGACCTCTGCGGCACTGCACGATACAGGTGCACTCACATACATACATACATGCAGGCAATACACTCAGTACACATAAAATAATAAAAATGTTAAAACACACACACACACACAGGCTATTGTCACAGTCCTTGATTGCCTCTCAGAACTTGAAGGTAAGACCCTATTGAAGACAGTCCACACTTCAGACACGGGACTTGGAGCAGTCGACCTGGAACTGACCTGGAAGTCTCCCTGAAGACCAGCTCTCATGGTATCAGAGGATACTATACAAGCTGCCAAGGCACAAAACCAATCAGTGGTCCTACCCATTGATTAGAACCTAATAAAACAATGACTGGTCCAGCAAACTATCACTACTGGTGCAGTAGTAGCACTTTTGCCCTGGGGCTAATCAATAGCTGTCTATTAAGGCCCACTCAGTGGGAGGGAACTCGTGGTACTATAAACAGCTAAATATACATGGCTGGCAAGGTCATACATCCTAGAGAAAAGCCTACTTTTGCCACATCCCTAGACCAGTATAATTTCTTTATGCATCCTCATATTTATAGATTGTAGCTTTCACCCTCATCAAAGCTGCTTTTTTTTTTTTTTTCCCCAACAGATGGACACTATTATAGAATCTCAGAACTGGTCAAATGCAGAGATAAGTGTCTGTGACGTGCTTAACCATAAGTGATGCATCTTCAGTGCTACTTCTACACAGGATAAATGTATCTTCTCACCAGAGAAGTTTCCTTATGCAGCAGATGGTGATTAACACAGAAACTCAGTTAGCTAAGAGAACAAAAGGCCACTGAGTGCTTATTCCTGAATAGGGCACCTGTTTCATTTTTCCTTTTTTAAAAAATATTTTATGTGTATGCGTGTATTGCCTGCATGTAGGTAAGTGCACCCATGTCAAGGGCACCTATTTCAAACCTCTGCTTCCGAAGGCTCTGGGATCATTGTGGAAGAGGAGGTGGAAAGGTTGTAAGAACCGGAGGGGTGGATGACCACAAGAAAACAGTCTTCCACAGAGCTGGTCATTTACTCATATATATGGTGGCAGCATGCACAAGTCCTATGCAAACTCAAACCAGACAAAAATCCCAGCATAGGCATGGGGATGTGGATGAGAAATCCCAACTCAATCTAGAACTTGGGCAGTTGATGGTTGTTGGGAGCAGGGAGAGACAGTGTCTTACAGGGATAGGAATCTTGATGGGCCCAGTGGATGGATCAACACTAAAGGACATTTGGGGACACAAATCAGAATATAGGCCATATATATATATATATATATATATATATATATATATATATATGGAGGTAGTGGAGGGAGGTATGGCTAGGGAAGGGAATCTAAATACTATCAAAATATATTACATGAAAATCACAAAAATTAAAAAAAATCCTCTCAGGCTGGCAAGATGGTTCGGCAAGTAAAGAAGGTTGACCTGAGTTTGATCCCAGAACTCACATAAAGGTGGAAGGAGAAGACCAACTCCATAGCTATCTTCTGACCTCCACAGGTGTGCCCACACATTGTGTACATACACAATAATAAAATTTTTTTTAAAAAATTAATAAAAAGAATCCTGTAACTGGCTGAACTGTTCTTCATAGTCCCAAGACATCCTAGGTTAGAGTGAGACCCTTTTTCAACCTCACCCAAAATAAAAAACAAAGAGAAGGTAGGGGGTTAGAGAGATGACTCAACAGTTAAGAGCATTGGCTGCTCTGAAGACCCAGATTCGATTCCCAGCTCTCACATGGCAGGTAAGAACTGTCGGTAACTCCAGTTCCAGGGGATCTGATGCCCTCTTCTGACCTCTGTGGGCATTGCATGACAGAGATGCACTTAGAAACATGCAGGTATCATACACATAAAATAAAAACAAAATATATATTTTTTTAAATTCCTAAATTAAAACAATTCATCCCCACCAAACCTGTCCTTCAGTCAGCCCTCATGGGAACCCAGCACGTGACATGCAGGTTACTGAGCAGTGACTGGAAGCCAAATGAAGGACCTAGACCGCTAAATGTAAATATGGGAGTAGTTAAAAATTAGTATTGGGCAGCCAGGCATGGCGGCACACGCCTTTAATCCCAGCATGTGGGAGGCAGAGGCAGGCGGATCTCTGAGTTCAAGGCCAGCCCGGTCTACATAGTTCCAGGACAGCTGGGGCTACAGGGAGACCCTGTCTCAAAAAAACCAAAAAAAAAAAAAAAAACCCAAAAGAACAAAAACTAATATTGTGATTGTGCTAACTCCACACTCATTTTCTACTTAAGAGACTAAAGCATTTAAAAGAAGAGCTGACCTCTCTCTGCTTCCCTGGGCTGCACAACCCACCAGCCTCTTTCCTGGACACCAGGGCTGACCTCTCAACAGGAACCACCACAGCTTCCTGATCCTTTGCATCCAGACGAAACCAGTTCCTTCTGGCTGTCCCCAGGAGCCCTCTGGCCCTGGTCCCTCCCTCACCACCCTCTGCTTCCCTGGGCTGCACAGCCCGCCAGCCTCTTTCCTGGACACCTGGAGCTGACCTCTCAGCCCAAGAACCACCACTGCTTCCTGATCCTTTGCATCCAGATCAATCCAGTTCCTTCTCAAGGTCCCCAGGATCCCTCTGGGCCTGGTCCTGACCTCACCTCCCTGGGCTGCACAACCTGCCAGCCTCTTTCCTGGGTAAGTCCACCACCACACCTTGACTCCCCCAGCCTCATTCACCCTCCCAACTCCCCCACCCTGTCTCTCCTCCTAGCTTGGGTACTGGCCCATTTCTTGTCTTGGCGCCCCAGACACTGGGGCTGACCTCAGTGCTTGG